GGTCAATGGGAACTTCATTCACCCAGTCGGTCAAGCCAAACCCTTTAAGTCAACCTTGACTCCTGTCTGGCATATATTCCTCATGTTCTCCACTCCATCACACGTTCTGCTGGCTTTGTCTTCAGAATAGATGGAGCAGCTGACCATTCTCACTTCTCCCTGTGCTACCAGCTCAGTGCAAAGCCTGTCTGGAATTCTTTTTTTTTTTTTTTTTTTTACATATACATGTCTTTATTTGGTTTTCACTTTTTGCCTTCACAAAATTAAAAAGGCTTAAAATTTAATAAAAATAGCAATGTTTAAGACAAGGACAAGAAACAAAAACCTCGTAAAGAACGAACGAAGATAAATACATTCAGAAAAGAAATCAGATGATTGCTGCAACGAAATATTGAGCAATAATAATAATAATGCAAAAAAGTAGCATTCACATGGTCAGATAAGAGTATGTCTATCATAGAATGCTTTGACTCTGAGGGTCAGTATGGAGGCATCGGTTAACTACTTCTTTTGTTTTCCAAAGTCTCAAAAAATAGACATCTAATATTTATAAATAAAAATAGAAGATAATTTCAAAAAACAGATCATGCCAAATCTTATAGACAATAGAAAAAGAAGAAGTACTTCAAAATCCTTCTACTTCATCTGCATATGCTTGATATTAAAATTGGAAAAAATATATTATAAAGGGAAATTACAAACATATTTCATTTATAAATGAGGATGCAATATCCTAAACAACATATTAACAAGTTGAACTAAAAAGTAATGTTCAAATAATGTACTTTGGTCAAAATTAAATTCAATTTATGTGAGAATTAGTCACTATTTTCTTTTCTTTTTTTTTCTTTTCCTTTCCCTCACACCCTCTCTCCTTCTCTCTGTATCTGCTCTCCCTTCCTCCATACCCCATATCATTAATTGTCATTAATTGTCCTCATATCAAAGTTGAATACATAGGATTCATGCTTGAATATAAGCTAGAATACATAGGATTCATGCTTCTCCATTCCTGTGATGCTTCACTAAGGATAATGTGGAATTCTTCATCTCCCCACTTGGTTTCTCATGCCACTATTCCCAGAAAATGCTTTAAAAGCTAATATTTGGTCACTGGCCAAGAGAAGGAGCATCCTAGCATTTATAATTTTTGTTTGAGATAAATTTAAAATTTCCAACAACTTGGAACCATTACCCCCCACCTTTTTTTTTTTTTTTCCAGGTACAGAGCAGTTGCCTCCTGGAGTCGTGTTCAGGGGATTGGGATTCCCTTGGTCACTGCCATTGAAATTGTCTCCATCTGGATCCTTTCCTTTATCCTGGCCATCCCTGAGGCAATCGGCTTCGTCATGGTGCCTTTTGAATACAGGGGGGAACAGCACAAAACCTGTATGCTCAATGCCACATCAGAATTCATGAAGGTACTAAGAGTTTAAAAGGAGTTAATTGGGAGGGAAGGTCTTCAGCTATACTCTATCATCTTAAGACTTATTGATATCTTCACAATGCCAGTGTGCTTCATTCATTCGAATATTCTTCAGGTGCATGAAAAGTGGATGTTAAACCAGTGTCTGGCTTCTTGAATGGGACAACTATTTTGCTTTTCACTCTTGTATTGTAGCACAACTCTAGACATCTAGACCCAATTGTTCAGCACCAAACAACTGAGAACTCTGAAGCAAATTTACTAAGAAAGAGGGACTAGATGTGTATGTTTATAATGCTATTTGTTTTTGTAATAAGGACTACCAGCACAACAGTTCCCATCTGATGGATATGCCAGTGTTTATTTTATGTCACTCAAGGAAATGGACATTACTCACTCACATTTTTTAAACACGGATTTAGTAATTGAAAAGTAGGGAGTAGTACTTACATGTGATTATATTAGTATAGATTCTATGTCTATTATGCAAATGAGGTAAAATTGCAGATCTTTTTCAAAGAATGTTTTGATTTAACACATTTCGTTGTTTTTTTACTACACTTGATCACATTAATGCTTCCTTGAAAAGCTTAATCACATAACTGAGTGTTTTGGGAAACCTGTTTCAAATGCATGCTTCCTCGACAAAACTAGTTACACAGGGACCAAGGGAGAAAACCAAAAGGATAACTATTTCTCTTAAATCAGCATAATTTAGTGCTTTGATGTATGTTTCATGCAGTTCAGATTCCACATGTAATTGTTTACAGACATCTCAAGGTATGTTTGCCAGACTTGGAAAATTCACAGAATTAGTGGTTTTATGGTCGGCCCGTTATCCTGCTTGGAAATTGTTCTTTTAAAAGCAAAAGTGCTCGTAAAAACTGCCAAACTGGCAACCTTAAAATTGGGGTCTTCTGTTTATCAACGGACATTTTTATCAGGCCAATCTCCACAGTAAAAAACAAAGCAGACAGTAGGAGATTATCAGAATTTGGACAATATGAACAAGCAATCTAGATATTCCAGACCGAAATGTCAGAGGAAAAAGGTCATTATAACAAAGATTTTACTAATAATCATTGGAACTGGACAGAGTGAAATGGGTGAGGCTGGGCTCAATAGCTCACACTCTGGGAGGCCAAGACGGGTGGATTGCCTGAGCTCAGGAGTTCAAGACCAGCCTGAACAAGAGCAAGACCCTGTCTGTACTAAAAACAGAAAAATAAGCAGGGCATTGTGGTGCGTGCCTATAGTCCCAGCTTCTTGGGAAACTGAGGCAAGAGGATGACTTGAGCCCAAGAGTTGGAGGTTGCTGTGAACTATGACACCACAGCATTCTACCCAAGACAACAGAGTGAGACTCTGTCTAAAAAAAAAAAAAGAAAGAAAAGAAACAAGTTATTTCATAAAAGATGGAGCCTTTTTTATAGAAGTGTTCAAGTAAAGCAAGGATACCCTTCAGGCCCGGTGGCCTATAGCATTGTAGAAGAGGGTATGCACTGATCAGGTAATTTGTTAAGAGTCCATAGCAAGTGTAAACTCCTGTTCTTTTTCCCTATATTTTTTCTCCTCTTTTTTCCATTCTTTGCTCCTCAACTTTGCCCTCCCCACCCTTGCTGACGACATCAGTTCAAAACAAAGGCATGACCCTTTTCTCTGCAGGGCTGCGCCATGGAGGGGTCAGCTTCCCAAACCTCTGCAGCCGCTTCTGGGTCATGTGTACCCAGCCAGCAGCGCTCCAGGAAGAGGAGGGTACGAAAGAGTGGAGGCCAGGTGCTCAATGTTTCACTGTAAAAGAGAGTGAGATAGAGACCTCCTGATCTTTTTTAAGTTCAGGGCTAAAATCTTTCTATAGTATGATGAGAACAGGGAAATGTTTGTGCATGCAGATTAGAATAAATCAACTCCTTTGGGAGTTGCACTTAACCTGAGGATAGAATTCAGGGATCTGTGAACTTGGATGGGAAAGAAATGTCACGCTTATTTTCACTAAGTTCTAACTGAATTTATCATTTCCTTCAATTACAAAGGTTGCCAACAAGCTGTAATAGCATTTAACGGTGCCACAACTTTTTCACTAACAGAAATAGCAAACATTTCTGTACCTCATAGCACTTGTATTATCTAGAAATATCATGTACCCTCGTCACAACCTCAGCATTCTGGTATTCATAGAAGCACCAGTAAGTTTATTTGTTAATAAACACCTAAATATTATATTGGAATTTTATTTTTAATATTTTGATAGCCATGTTTCAATATAATTGATTTCCATTGCAATCTTATGTATTTTGTTTTATGCATGTAAAGGTATCCTTCTCAGAAAATATTATATTCGGGGTGGCACCTGTGGCTCAAGGAGTAGGGCGCTGGCCCCATATACTGGGGGTGGCGGGTTCAAGCCTGGCCCCAGCCAAAAACTGCAAACAAAAAAAAAAAAAAAAGAAAGAAAGAAAGAAAAAGAAAAGAAAAAAATAGAAAGAGAAAAACGTAAGAAGCACAGGCATCTGTGAGGGTAAGGAAGAAAATACTCAAGAGCTG